CTTGCCTCATTTGCCTCATGGAACTGCTGTGAGGAACAAATATCATGACATTTATGAAAAGGCATTGTCAACTGTAAGGCTCATTCAAGTGTAATTGATAATATTGAGCAGCTATTAGCAAAAGTCATACTAAAGGTTATCCTTATGCTATCTTTAAAATTTCTCCTCATAATTCTATGAAGCAGCCCCCCCCCCCCTCACTGCTAGGATCTCAATGTGTTGACCAGGCTAGCCCAGAGCTCAAAATCCTCCTGCCACAGCCTTCTGAGTGCTGAGATTATAGGTAGGTGAAACCACACGGGACTTCTTCCTTTTCCCTTACTTTATAGCACAGCCCTAGTTCATGGAAGAAGGAGAGGAAGTGTTTGTTTTGCACCCCCCCATACCTACCTGGGAGGGAGGGAGGCAGAGAATCAAAATAAAAGAAATAACAATGAAGATGGTAGGTTTTGAGACTGGAGGGATGGCTTGCTGTTTAAGAGCAAGGACTGGTTGCTCTTGCAGAGTGAAGGGCTCTGGAACAGGCCCAAGTGTTGCCAACACGGCTCTGGTGGGTCTTACCTTCCTCCCTTCCCTCCCCTTTGTTAAACCATTAGGTTACATCCCTCCCTCATGCTTGACTAAAACTCCAAGATCCGACTATCAAAACACCAAGGTCCAGCCATCCAGATTCATTATTTGGCCCCAGGGCCTAACCTGTCCAATCAGGACTTACCAGCTGATCCTAGCACAGATTTCCTCTTTTTCTCCTACAAACCACTCCTGCAGAAACACCTGCTGCTGTCTTTGTCTGATCTAGAGGCACCTCCCCCCACCTGCTTTTGTGCTGAGAATTTGGTGTCTGGGTGTATTCTGTGCTGACTCCTAGACCTCTTCACAGAGAACCTGGGTTCTGTTCCCCGCACCCACGTGGTGGCTCACAACCATTTGTAACCCCAGTTCCAGGGGATCTAGCAGCCTCTTTTGACTTCCATAGGCACCAGGTACGCACAAGGTAAACGTGTTTACATGCAGGCTAGACAGTCATACACAGCTGGTGCATATCTGTAACCCCAGTACTCAAGAGGCTGCACTCAGGAGTTCATGGCCAGCCTGGGCTAAAGCAAATTCTAAATCAAGCCAGCCAGGGCTACACAGTGAGACCACATCTCACAACAAACAAGCAAACCACACACACCACACACACACACACACACACACATGCAAAGTTGTACGCGTTACAAAATACTTAAGGCCAGGTGGCAGTGGCGCACACCTTTAATCCCAGCACTCAGGAGGCAGAGCCAGGCAGATCTCTGTGAGTTCGAGGCCAGCCTGGTCTACAGAGTGAGATCCAGGACAGGCACCAAAACTACACAGAGAAACCTTGTCTTGAAAACAAACACACACACACACACACAAAAAAACCAACAAACAAACAAGAAATTAAGAAAACAACCCAAAAACCTATTGTCATTTTTTTTCTTCTTCTCTCTCCTGGCTGGGTTGTTGGGGGATCAGACCCAAGACTTGAGATGCTAGGGCCTTGACAACAAACAGGTTGTGAAGCAATCAGAGTCTACCTCTTCACTGTGCCACACGGGACATCTTCCATGTAGTAGAATTTGTAGTGGTATTGTGTTCCCCAAAATATTGTGTACCCTAATAAACTTATCCAGGGTCAAAGAACAGAAAAGCCACTAGATACTTAGGATAGGCAGTGGTAGCACACGCCTTTAATCCTAGCATTCCAGAGGCAGAAATCCATCTGTTCAAGGATACAGCCAAGCATGGTGACTCACGCCTTTAATCCCAGAAAGCGAGCCTTTAATCCCAGGGAGTGATGGTAGAAAGCAGAAAGATATATAAGGCGTGAGGACCAGGAACAAGAAGCATTTGGCTGGTTAAGCATTCAAGCTTTTAGGTTTTGAGCAGCACAGTTCAGCTGAGAGCCATTTGGATATGAGGACACAGAGGCTTCCAGTCTGAGGAAACAAGACTAGCTGAGGATCCGGCAAAGTGAGGTAGCTGTGGCTTGTTCTGGTTCTCTGATCTTCCAGTTCACCCCAATACCTGGCTCAGGTTTGATTTTATTAATAAAAACATTTAAGATTCATGCTACAAGAATGTGAGAAACTGGGTTTTCTCTGAGTGTGTGATGCCTAGCAGGGCCCCTGGTAGCCTTTTGGAACCTGGTTCTCACCTCTGAAGTAGACAGTTACACAGGGTTTGGGTGGGGGGCTGAGAGGTGGGTTAATCTTGGCCGACTCCACGACAAGCCTTAGCATCTTGGACACCTGCTTTCTCCCCTCCTTCCCTTCACGGTGCCGCCGAGTCCGCCTTAGAGTTCCTCTGTCCCAGATTCGCAGGGTGAGTGGAGCTTAGCAACAGAGGGACATCACAGAGATGGGTGGTTCTTGGTTCCGCAGAGAATCTCCAGAAGAGACGAGTGGCATGTGACAGAGGGTGTATAAAACAAGTGGCTTCAGGTGACCAGGCCTGTACAAACAAAATAACCTAGCTGCTTTGGCGATTCCTTTCTTTTCTTCTATCACTGTCCTTTTGAGTTCAATGTCAGGCACAGAATTCTCTTTTGTCTGGAATGAATTCTTGGCAAAGCCATGCAATTTAGATGAGAAAAGAAGTGAGGCCTTAAAATATATATAAAAATATATATAAAATATATACAGGGAAATCCATGAGGCCTCGGTGGAGTGCTTCCTAATGGGGTAGCAAAACATTTGGCCTCTTTTTTTCTTTGTTTGATTTATTTATCTATTTATTTTTATTTTTGGGATAGGGTCTCATGTAGCCCAGGCTGGCCCTGAACTTCCTATGTAGCTGAGGCTGCTCTTGAACTCCTGATCCTCTAGCCTCTGAGGTGATGGATATTTTTGCTAATAATAATTAATGCTAAGAAAGCTACTTTAGCCGTGTGGTGGTGGCGCACGCCTTTAATCCCAGCACTCAGGAGGCAGAGACAGGCGGATCACTGTGAGTTCGAGGCCAGCCTGGAAAGGCACCAAAACTACACAGAGAAACCCTGTCTCAAAAAACCAAAAAAAGAAAAAAAAAAAAAAAAAAAAAAGAAAGCTACTTTATATAAAGACATAGTACAAAATGGCAGAAGTGTTTTCAGAAATGATTGTACATTCTGTCCTAATCCCAAGCTATAATTCATTGATCATTTTATGAAGCTCAAACAGCCACTGAAACAGCAATTTCCTTTTTTTTCTTTTTTTCTTTTTTTTTTTTTTTTTTTTTGGTTTTTTGAGACAAGGTTTCTCAGTGTTGTTTTGGTGCCTGTCCTGGAACTCATTTTGTAGACCAGGCTGGCCTGGAACTCAGAGATCCACCTGGCTCTGCCTCCCAAGTACTGAGATTAAAGGCGTGTGTTACCACTGGCCTGGCTCTCAAACAGCAATTTCTAAAACCAGACATTCTATCACAATCCAAAGATAGTACTACTTTGATACATGCTGAGGAAAGATAGGAAACTACTAAGAACCTTTGTTTTTCATAATGAAACTCTCAGGTTGCTGTAAGAACAGAAAACTTGTTGTCTACAGTAAAAACACTGCAGTTCATAACATACAAGAGTCTGAAGTCTCAGCCGAGGGTTTTTACATAGCATTTGTTGGTGCTATAACTTTATGGCATGAGCTGTGAGAAAGTGTACATGCTGTGTGCTCAGAACCAAGGCTGCAGTGACATTGTGGATGTAACACATCACAAACGGCCAGAAATACTGGTTGAATTAATTTTAGGCCATTGCACATTTAGAAACTTCTTGTGGTTGCCTAATCTTCCTGACTCTCGACCTTCAGTTATTCAAGCCTCAATGGGATTTGCCACCTAGAGTTTAAAACACTGTGTTCTAAGCTGGGCGGTGGCACATGCCTTTAATCCCGGCACTGGGGAGGCACCAGGCAGATCTTTGAGTTCAAGGTCAGCCTGGTCTACAGAGCTAGGTCCAGAGCTATACACAGAGAAACCCTGTCTTGAAAAACTAAACCACTAAACAAACAAACAAACAAACAAAAAAATCCACACGGTGTTCTACTTTAGGTGTGGTGTTGCAGGCCTAAAATCCCAGCACTTGAACGGTAGAGAGGTAGAAGGATCAAAAATTCAAGGGCATCCCTGGCTCCATACCTAATTTGAGCCCAGCCTGAGATACATGGGACTCTGTTCCACCACCCCCTCCATAAATGAATAAATAAACAACCCAAGGCGCTAAGTTTGAAAGCCTGGAGGTGGCGGTAGCTCATGGTAATTGCCATCAAGAAATCAATTTGAGCTCTTGACAGGTGGCTGAAATAACACTCTGCTCAGCTTTCCCTCTCCCCCTCTCTCTCCGGTTGGTTTTGAAGTTTTGAGACAGGGTGTCACTCTGTAGCTCAGGTTGTCCTGGAATTCACCGCGATCCTCCTGTCTCGGCCTGCTGGGATTATAAGGATACACCCCTGCGTGCTGGGATTATAAGGATAGAGCACCGCACTGGACTGAAGGTAAACCCCACCCTCCTACTGCAAGTTGAACCTAGCTAGCTCTTTAATGGTCAAAGGGACAAAGAACTGACTGCGGTGAGGACCCCGAGCACTTGGGTTGTCTATCTTCTCCTCTGCCCTCACTCTTCCTGCCGAAATCACGGAGGGAGGAGGTCTCTGCCTCGGAGTCGCGTGCCCCTTCGGCACTACCCACTGGCCAGCGAGGTCGCGGGGGCTGGATCCGCTCCGGGCTTTGCCGCTCACCGCCGCGCGGCTCCCTGGCAGCGATCCAGTTCCGCGTTTTCTCCCGAGCCCAGCGCGCCCGGCGCGGAGGCGGTAAGGCGCACGCGCGCTGGGATCCGGCTCGGGCGAGCGCGCGGCCGACGACTGCGGGTGAGACGCGGGTCTGGCCCGGCGCGGGTGGCGGGCCGTGGGGTTCGAGGCGGCGGGAGGCGGCCTCGGCGGAGGCCCTCGGGGCTCCGCGGGCCTGCGGGGGCCGGGACTGGAGCCACGGGGCCGGGCCGGGGCGGGCCGGGCGCGGGAGGCCCAGACGGCCCTGGGGCGGCGGAGGCGCGGGGCCGAGAAGGGCCCCGGGAGGCGGGGCCGGGCGGCTCCTCCTCGTCACGAACTCGGGATGACCTTGGCCAAGTCGCCTAGGCCCCTCCGAGCCGCCGCCGTCGCCGCGCCGCCCGGGTGGGCCGTTTTGAGGTTTTTGCGGCTCCGCGGCGGGAAGCTCTCGGAGGAGCGGGCAGTTTGCCGGGCGCCTCGCCGAGGGAGGGCGAAGGAAGAAAGGCCTCCCGAGGGCCCGGCCCGGCGCGGGCTGAGGGCGGGCTCTCGTTTTTTAAATCTTTTCAAACTCGGGTGTAACGTGAGGTCGGTGCAGAACTTTGGAACGTGACCCTAGGAGACTCCCCTTGATCTCAGCCCCAAGCGGCGAAGCCTGGAGCCCTTGGCAGCAGCCAGCTTCCTAGACACCCGCCGTGCCCGGCTGTTGTTCCAGGGGCGCCTGAGCCCACAGGCCCTGCCCACGTCCTTTAGGGGATGGAAAGTAGGGACCCCCTAGCTTTTGAAGAATTCATGCTTGTGGTTCCTCTTGTTTGCAGAAACCTTTACCACCCAGGCAGGAAATTGCATAGCAGATTTAGGTCTTTGATTTTTGTTTTGCTTTCTTTTTTCCTTTTTTCTCCCCCCCCCCCTTTTTTTAAAGAGAGACATGAACTCACTGTGTAGCCCTGGCTGCCCTCTAACTCATAAAGATCCGTCTGCCTCTCCTTCCCCAGTTTTAGGATTAAAGGCCTACACCACTACACCTTGCAAGCAAAGTTCAGGTCTTTGTGAACTGTGGAGTCTTGTCCGTTTATAGATACATGATTGTGCATTTTGTATAGCACCGGCACCTTTTTGGTAGTGGTGTGGGAACTCTTACCTCGGTGGGCAAAGATGTATGTAATCGATGATAAGAGTGATAGGCATAAAAGCATATTTTGATGGTGTACGCTGGGAGAAATTGAAAACACTGAATTGACCAACCTCGTTTCCCTGCAGGTGACTAGCATGCAGATACTCGCACCCTGACTTGGCTGCCTGACTACTGACATGGCCCACCGGGGTGGGGAGAGGGACTTCCAGACTTCAGCTCGGCGGATGGGTACTTCCCTGCTCTTCCAACTTTCCGTGCATGAACGGGAGCTGGACCTCGTGTTTTTGGATCATAGCTATGCTAAACCATGGAGTGCCCACCCAGATGCCAGTAGTGCCCGCCCCACCCGCATGCTCTTTGTAACTCCCCGTCGGCAGCAGGAGAATACTATGTGAGTTTGAGAATACCATGTGAGTTTGGGTTTCCTTCTTAAGGGCTACTTCTGCCTAACCTTGGCAGTGATCATATGTATGGTGGGGTTTAGAAAGGTGTTCTTGGAGTGATTGGGGGTTGTGGGGGTGACTGGAGATTTTGGATGAGTAGCATAAGCCAATCAGGGACATCTTCACAGACATTTCCAAATGTGAATTAGAAAAGGAAGATTGTGCAAATGAAAACAGCCTAGTCCACTTAGATAAGTGTCATAGAGCTTGTGTGGAAAGAGAAAAGGAAGAATTTCCTTGTCACTTTACTGCATCTGATTTGTTTGACAGTGGCTACAATCTATCATTCGCTTTTCCTGGCTTTAGTGCACAGATTCACAGATTTTGGAGGGAATTCCCAAAACATTGCTTTCATTCTTACCTCCTTACAGAAAGCCACCTGTGGGTTAATCTAAACCCTCCTAAGTCTCATTATATTTCCAGCCACCCTACGTTAGAGGGTAAGAACATTTCAAAAATTTACTATCTGATAAGTGATTGGTTACATTTGACCTAACTAATTAGTTAATTATTTTGAACCTTCTGATTTCACCCATATCAGGATTTGTTGAAATACTCTAGTCTGATCGTTACAAATTTTTGGATAAGAGATTTTGTTTTGTTTTTTGTTTTGACTTCATGTTTAATCTTTGCTCAAGCACAGGGTTTGTTGTTTTTGTGGGGATAGTGGGTTCTCTACACACATAGACACACCATTCCCCTCCCCAGACAGTAGTATAGCTTAAGATGATTTTGAACTCTTGATCTTCCAGGATAAAAGGTGTATGCCACCTTGATTAGTTTGTGTTTTCTTTAGGGACAGGGTTCTACTCTGTACCCCTGGCTAGCTTGGAACTTGCTGTGTAGCTCAGGGTAGCAGCAAATTCTTGATCTTCCTGTTGCTGCCTCCCAAGCATTACGATTGCAGTCATAGGTGTGGCTTAGAAGAGAGGTTTGTTTGTTTGTGAAATGGTCTCTCTGTGTATCCTTGGCTGTCCTGGAACTCTCTATGTAGACCAGGATGGCTCACAGAGATCCATCTGCCTCTTCCTCCCAAGTACTAGCATACCCAGCTCAGAAGACTTGTTTTTTATTTCATAATGATAGTAACATTTTGTTGACTTCCAGTTTGCTCAAGATCTATGAGCCATTATTTAGAGGAACATTCTAGAATAGTCCTGATTCCTCTGGCCTGGGGCATAACTGAAAGTCTTTTGAAATATTTCTTTTTTATTGTATAAAATTTCTTGTTTACATTAAAACTCATGTATTTGTATCTCATGGCATTTTCTTAAAATGAAGGTCAGTGATTGAGTAAATTACTTTATTGGAAGACTTATTTTATTTTTAATTGTGTTTATGAGTATGGGTATGTACATTGAGTGCCAGTGTCCTCAGAGGACAAAAGCATCAGATCCCCATGGAGATGGAGTTACAGGCAGTTGTGAGCTATCCCATGTGAGTGCTGGGAATCAAACCTGGGTCCTCTGAAAGAGCAGCAAGCACTTTTAACTGCTGAGCCATCTCTCCGGCCCTGAGGAATGGAATTGTTTTTTCCTCCTCAAGTTAGGGTTTCTCTGTGTAGCCTTGGCTGGCCTGGAGCTCGCTCTGAAGACCAGGCTGACCTGTAACTCAGTCCACCTGCCTCTGCCTCCCAAGTGCTGGGATTAAAGGCATGCACCACCACCACCACCACCACCACGCTGGACAAGGAGCAAATTTTTAATCCTATTTATTTTAATAGGTTTAAGTAGCCATGAGAGGCCTATAACTTTGGGACAGTATGCCTAGGGTAGCCAATTATTTACTTGTGGATATATTTGTCTCTCTTTATATCTACATATCTGTTTGTTGGTTTTTGTATAGCTGCATTTAAAAAAGACTTTGGAGCCAGGTGTAGTAACTCATGCCTATAATCCCGACACTTGGTGAGACTGAGGCAGGAGGAGTGTCAAGAGGTTAAGGCTAGGAGCTGGAGAGAGATGGGTCAGCAGTTAAGATCACATACTGTTCTTGCAGAGGACCAATGCCAGATGCTCTCAGTATCCGTGTCAAATGTCTCTGGCCTCTGTGGACATGAATTCACATGCACATACTCACTTAAATAGACACACAAAAATTGTTTTAGAAATGTTAAATAAAACAACAACCACGTTCAAGGCTAACCTAGGCAACATAGTCAATTCCAGGCCAGGGTTTTCAAAAGAAAAAAACCAAGAGCCACTAAAGGTATAATGGCCTTGTATTTCCCAGTCATATACCAGGGAGAGAGGAGAGCTAGATGAGAGTGTGGGGAAGATGACTTTGGATCAAAATTTTCTTGTGGATGTGATGAGCTTATTCATCATTTAAAGCTAATTATGTTCAATAGACAGTGTATGTATCTTTTTATTTGCCAACCAAATGATTGTTAAGCACTTGTGTTGTGTGAAGTGTGTGTGGCTTGGTCCTATTTCCTCACCTGTTTACAGTGAATCAGACGTTCCAATAGATGTGGAGACGGTCACATCAACTCCTGTCCCACTCTATGACAACCAGAAGGCACGAAGTGTGATGAACGAGTGTGAACGGCATGTCATCTTCGCCAGGACTGACGCAGATGCTCCTCCTCCACCAGAAGACTGGGAAGAACATGTCAACAGGTAGGCCATTCCTTGATCGACTTGGTCACTTTGGGGTTAATTCTTTGACATCATCTTCACTGAAGCATTTATTGAGCTTCATTTCTTTTGTAGCTATGTCAATTGTATCTCCGCTCAGTGCTGTGAAGGACTTGGCTGCAGGCGTTGGTCTCAGCTGCCTTACTCGCTGTCCCTAACTCTAGCGCATTGATTGGCATACATAGTGACATACAGGTGTCTGTAGTTGCAGCACCTTGGAAGGCCCAGGCAGGAGGGGACGTGCACTTAAGAATTCAAGACATGTATGGACAGCATAGTGAAACCTTAATCTCTTTATAAGAAGTGGGGGTTGGAGATGTAGCATAGTGGTAAAGCATTTTCCTGGCATGTGTGAGACCCCAGCACCACAAAACTGTACAGTTTGCTTGCTGGACATAGGTATGACTTACTGTGTAGGTTATGCAGTGTAAGAGCCACCCAAACTACCTAAAAAGCTAAATTATGTTTGTATGTAAGATTTGCATTTATATGATCTACGGTTAGGGTAATAAATGTTTTGGAGTTATCTGTAAAGCTAGTATGTTTGAGTTGCTTTAAAATACAGTTTTTTGAAGTTGGGGATATAACTCCATGACAGAATTTAATTTAAAAAAATGGTGAGAGGGGCGAGAGAGATGGTTCAGAGATTGAGAGCTGTCCTGCTCTTCAGAGGACCGTAAGTTGGGCAGCTCACAACTGCCTGTAAGTCCAGCTCCAAGGAGGATGCCTCTGGCCTACTTGCATACCTGAATGCATACGTACATATCTACGTATGCGCGTGTGCACACAGACACAGTTACAAATAATAAAAATATGACTTTAAAAACTATGGGGACAAATGTTTGAGAGAATTGAAGGACTTTTTAAAATCAGTTAACCTTTGATTATGATTGAGAGGTTTGGTTTATTAAAGTCATCAGTCTTAATAGTATATATATAGTAATGCCTTTCTTAAGTCAGTTCTTCTTTTAAAAGAAGGAATTTGTGAAAGATTCATTTTATATTAATGTATATTTGTCTATGAGTGTATGCTAGTGTATACCATGTGTGATGGGTGCCCTTCGAAGTCAGAAGAGGTTGTTGGATCCCCTGGAGCTGCAGGCACTTGCGAGTTGTCTGATATAGATGCTGGGAACTAAGCTCTAGTCCTCTGGAAGAGCAGCAAGTGCTCACAGCTGTTGAGCCCCTTTATTGATTTTTGAGACAGGGTCTCTGGTGTAATGTAGGTTGACCTCAGACTCCCTTTGTAGCTAGGATTTGATCTTGAACTGATTCTTGTGCCTCTACCTTCCATGTGCTGGGATTATAGATGTGTTGCCCCCATGCCTTGCCTTTATTTACTTTTATGCATAGTTTTACTGTGAAAGTCAAGGCTGGCCAGACATACTATAAGTATGTACCACCATGCATGGTCACTAGTTTCTTAATTTATAAGGAAAGATAAAACTGTAAAGCAGAAGAGACACTGGAGTGCCTGACTAGAGTATCCATCCCTAGTTGAAAAGTCTGAGAAGGCATTCTGTTATAGGGGGTGGGTGGGTGGAGAATCTTTACAGGAGAAAGATAGGCACACCAGATAACTAGGGTGCCCCTTTACCTGCTGGGTGCTGCAGAAAACACTAGAGAGATTCTTATCTTTGGCTTGTCTTTCTCTAGTCACAGAGTGAACCTCCATCCCCTATTAGGACCCAACTGCACACTGATAGGATTTTGTTATTTTGAAATAAACTGTTACTGTGTTTTGGTGTCTGGTAAGATTTGGGTGGTGTTCTATTAGCAACAGACTTTAAGCTATCTCTTTGGTTAGGTAACTTTTGCAGGTAGCTGATTTCATTATTTGTTAGTACTTATTAGCTTAACTCAAGAGGTCATCCTTTTTCTGTAGCTTGTTTGGAAGTTTTCAGTTGCCTCTGCTGTGATTATAAGCATCTTATTGCCTTCTTTCCCTTGCTTGTTAAATTGCTGCTTCCTTTGTTCCTGTATAAGCCATGTAAAATTACAGTTTCCCACACTGAGAACTCCATGGAGAGCTCTATAGGACAGCTCCCTAGAATCTAGGTTTTTATCTTTAGAGAGACTACTGATTGCCTTGTATCTGTAGAGTCAGAAACTTCCATTCTTTGTTAGAGCTCTTTTCTCTGACTCTTGAATTATTCAGTAGGAACTCCCACAGATCATTTTGTGTTTAGGAAACAAAATCTACTACCACCACCTAATCCTAGTTTTCTCTAACGATGGCTGATGTTTTATGAAATGGTTTCCATCTCTGCTTGATTTAATTGTCTGGATCAGGCAGGGGTTGTTAAACTGACACATGTGCCAAGTTTGGCCCATTGCTTGCTTTGTATGCCTTAAGAGTAGTTTTATGTTTTTAAGTGCTTGGAGAAAAAAACACATAAAATTCTAATTTCAAGCCGGGCGGTGGTGGCGCACACCTTTAATCCCAGCACTCGGGAGGCAGAGGCAGGCAGATCTCTGTGAGTTCGAGGCCAGTCTGGTCTACAGAGCGAGATCCAGGGCAGGCACCAAAACTACACAGAGAAACCCTGTCTCGAAAAACCAAAAAAAAAGAAAAATTAATTTCAGTGTCTATGATTCACAATTCTTGGAATACAGCTATGCCCATTCATTTGATAGTGCCATGGCTGCTTTTGCACTAAAACAAGAGTTTTGGCCGGGCGATGGTGGCGCACGCCTTTAATCCCAGCACTCGGGAGGCAGAGCCAGGCGGATCTCTGTGAGTTCGAGGCCAGCCTGGACTACCAAGTGAGTTCCAGGAAAGGCACAAAGCTACACAGAGAAACCCTGTCTCGAAAGACCAAAAAAAAAAAAAAAAAAAAAAAAAAAAAACAAGAGTTTTGTATTTGTGTCAGGGACCATATGGTCTATGATCCCTCGTATGTTTACATGGTTTCCTGTCCACAAAGTTAGCTGACTGGGTCTGGGTCATGTTCTTGTGTCTGTGTGTCACAGTCATATAACTTGGAGGATTGTTGGAAGTTCTATTTGATGGTAAAGTAATATAGTCCTGAAGATGTCAGGCCAGCTAACCCATCTGTTGTCAAATGAAGAGTTGCATTAGATGCATTTGATCTGGTGGGTTTTATAACGTCTTAACTTTTTTTTTTTTTTAATCTAGTGCTGGAAAGTAGGCTGTCTTATCTTAGAAATCAGAACTTCAGAATTTCAACCAAGAATCTTCCCATTCTCCTTTTCTGAACTTTGTGTGATTATATACTATGATACGTAGGTATATATCAGGTCGGATGTTTGGTATTTCAAGTCCAAGATCTTTGTTTTCCTTCCTTCCTTACTGCTTGTCCATTTTCTTTTCCCTTCTTTTATTCTTTCCTTTCTTAGTTGTGTGATTTAATTAAGCTTTTCTGATGTTGTCTTGCCCTGTTTAATTTTTCACTTAAAAAAAGTTCTTTAGGCCTGGCATGGTGGCTCACACCTTGAATTCCAATGCTTGGGAGGCAGAGGCAGGTGGATCTCTGAGTTTGAAACCGTGCTGGTGTATATAGTGAATTCCAGGACAGCTGGGACTATGTAGAGAGACCTGTCTCACAAAAACAAAAATAAATAAATAAAATTAAGATAAAAAAAATGTGATTTAGACAGGGCTAGTGAGATGGCACTTGCCAAAACACAAACCTGGTGCAAGTTTGATGACCTGAGTTTACTTGCTGGAACCCATGTGAGGGAGGAGAGAAATCACTCCACAAAGTTGTATTCTGACTACATAAATGTCATGGCATGTGCTTCCCTCCTAAATACAGCTCACACACACATGCCAAGCACATACACACAATTAAAAAAAAAAAAAATCTGGCCGGGCGGTGGTGGCGCACGCCTTTAATCCCAGCACTCGGGAGGCAGAGCCAGGCGGATCTCTGTGAGTTCGAGGCCAGCCTGGTCTCCAAAGCGAGTTCCAGGAAAGGCGCAAAGCTACACAGAGAAACCCTGTCTCGAAAAACCAAAAAAAAAAAAAAAAAATCTGGAGTTGGAGAGATGGCTAAGCAGTTAAGAGATGCTGTTCTTGCAGAGGGCCAGAGTTCTGTTTGCAGCACTCATGTGATGGCCTACAACCATCCTAACTGCTTTCAGGGGATTCAGTTCCCTTTTCTAGCCTCCTTGTCCTTTAGACATTTTTGCATTGAATCAGTCTCCCTTGGAACAGAATCAGGGAATTAATAATTACCTTTGAAAATACTGGGTTTGCTTGGCTTGGTGGCATATGTCTATAATCCCAGTCTTTTGGAAACAGGAGGATCCAAATTTGAAGACAGATTGGGTTACATAGTGAGACCTTGTCTCTTTAAAAAAAAAAAAAAGAAAGAAAGAAAAAGAAAAGAAGAGTCAGGTTTTCTAGGACCAGCGTGCTATTTTGCTTGCTTTAACTAGAATGAGCCTGAGGTCAGCATATCATTCAGGTTGGTCAGACTAAGGAAAACAAAGACTGTCTGATCTCATCTATGAAACGAAGAAAATGCATTTCTGGCACTCATGAAAATTAAATAGATTTTGGCCCGAAGGGAGGGGGTAGTTGACTCACCCCAGTTCCCATCAGCTCCTTGACTGTTTAGGCTTGTATTTAAAATTTGGTCTCCTGTGTTTGAATTTTTCCTTAATTATATCTTTATCTTAATCTTGGGTTAGATCTTTTTTCCCCCCTGCCTATTTAATTTTTTAGCCTCCCACGAAGCTAACAGAATGCATAGAACGTGTTTCAGTTCTTGGGTCACTTTGTTGTATGTACAGCAATAATCATAAGCTTTCAAATTTAGTTTTATGTGTTATGTGGTAGTCTTTTCTGAATAGATTTTAACTTTTCTCTTTCGAGATCATATTTCTTCCTCATCATTTTGTATTTCATAGTAAAAATAGAGTTAAAAAATGACTGAGTGAGGAAGGGCTGAGGAGATGGCTCAGCGGATAAAGTACTTGCTGTGTGAGTATCAGGGCCTGAGTTAGGGTCCTCAGCACCTACATAAAAAAAAAAAATGGTGATAGACATCTGTGACCCAGGGTTGGAGAAGAAGTTGGGGGTTCTTGGAACTTGCTGGACAGCCATTTAGCCAATCATTGAGTACCAAGGTCAGTGAGAGACCCTGTTCCAAACAATAATATAGAAAAAGAAGAGGACACCTAGATTCAACCTCTGGCTTCCACATGGACACACATGGACACCCCACTCACATGCATACACCACACACACAAATAATAATCTTAGTGCTTACAAATAGGGTAGAATTCAAACAGTAATTAAAAATTAAGAAGTACATTAAAATGGAAATATATCTGTCACCAGAAAGCTTTTTCTATACTGTTTGTGAACATTGTTTTCTCCCACATCTACACATGCAAGTCTCAAGACCACCTGAGAATCACTGTACATGGATAAATAAGCTGGGCATTTCAATAATGTGAATGGAAAGGGAAATAGGAACTAATGGGCGAGGGATATTAGTCCCAACAGCCTTCCTATTCCAAGTGGAATTAAGGCTTTTCAGTCCCCATCCCCAAAATCCAAAGTCTCTAAGGAGCAAACCACAATAAAAATAGACATGATTCTGATGAAGTAATAGGAGTTATACCAAGAGAACTAGGCGAGAAAGAAAAAAGAAAAGCACAGTCTAGAATCTTCACGGTATTATAAGGGTGAGTAGCTTTGGGAACTCAGAAGGGATTTCCGTGTAACAAGGAAAGCTTTGCAGATAGATAGAAGGCATCGCTAGCAAGGTATGATGCTACAGTCCTGTAATCCCCAGCATTCAGGAGCCAGAAGCAGGAAGATCATGAGTTTGAGGTCAGTGTTGGTTACATAGAAAGTGCAGGGTCGCCGGGCGGTGGTGGCGCACGCCTTTAATCCCAGCACTCGGGAGGCAGAGCCAGGTGGATCTCTGTGAGTTCGAGGCCAGCCTGGGCTACCAAGTGAGTCCCAGGAAAGGCGCAAAGCTACACAGAGAAACCCTGTCTCGAAAAACCAAAAAAAAAAGGAAAAAAAAAAAAAGGAAAGTGCAGGGTCAACTTGAGCTGTTTGATGAGATTCTGTCTCATAAAAGCAAAGGCTGGGAATATATAACTTAGCGGTAGAATACTTGGCTGTGTTAGATCTCGATTACCAAGACTGGAAATGATGGCATTTCTGAAGAGGGGTTGCTTGGTTCTATCTCTAAATCTATGTTGCTATCATTGTTTATCATAGTTAACCTGAATTTTAAGTAACTTAGAGAAAATCTAGTTCATGTCTCTGTCTCTCTGTCTCTGTCTCTCTCTCTTTTAAAGACTGGAACACCCAGGGTACATAGCCAGCTCTTTATTAAAGAGCGGAATAACATCCTGGCTCTTGGTTAGACTTCTTCTGGACCATGGGAGTTGTATAGTAGGTGGATATTTTATTTTACAGAGAGAAAAGGGGTTTCTAGTAAATACTTGCTTACTCTTGTATACCAAATTGTTGAACAGAGTGGAAGGCTAATTTATCCTTCATCTGTGTATTCACTAGGCCATGATAGTAGTATTTGTAGACCCATGGCCTGTAGAAATGAAGTATCATGTTGGAGTAAGACTAGGTGTGATGGAAAAGATGCTGATCTGCTGTGAAGGAAGAAATGGGGACTGTTGATGGCATTTTAAGTAGCTTGCCTGTAGCTTGACCACCTTAGAGTGGTAAAGAGCTTGGTTGAGTGTTGAGTCTAAATCTTCCTGCTGTGTTCTTCCTGTTGCTTAGCACGCATGTGCTTAGTAGGGTTTTCGTGTGGGTGGGTGGCGGGTAATGACAGGATGAACCTAGCTGTTCAAAGCACTTAGAATGCAGTGTGTGTGCAATTTGTCTGTTTATTCAGCATGTGTTAACTCCCAGAATGTCAGGCACTTGTTGCATGCACTGAGGATATAGCATTAAAACACAACCATTAAGAATCTTGGCTTTTTTGCCTTTTATATTCTAACAAAGGGAGCCAAACTCAGAATGCTAGAATGTGAGATGGTGATGTAGTTGGAAAATGGAGCTAGAGAATCCCACGGTGGGATAAAAGGGGTCAAGGAAGCTTCAGTAGAAGGTGATATTTAGCAGTGACCTGAAGGAGAGGAAAGAGGACATTACTGTTGATTTTAGGGAATGAATGAAAAAGATCCAGATACAGGACTGCATGTGATGCACATGGGTGTAGGGGAATGGGCGGTATTGATCAGGGATAGAAGAGTACACTGAGCTAAGCTGAGTGACAGTCATTGGATGATGAGATTGGGAAGGTACTGAGATCCACATGGTTCATTGCAAGAACTTTAACTTTTTTTCTTTTACATTTTATTGATTTGTGTGTGCTTATGTTTTGCATGTATGTATGTATGTATGTATCACCTGTGTTTCTACAGATGGAGGCCAGAGATTGATGTCTGGTATCTTCCTCTAGTTTTCTACTTTAGTTTTTGATATCGAATCTCTCACTGAACCTAGAGCTTGCTGATTGGTCAGACTGGCTGGCCAGCAAGTCCCTGGATCCTTCTGTCTCTCCCCACCCTGAACCCAGCACTAGAGTTACAGACACATGTCTCCATGCCCAGCTTCTACATGGATACTGGGGGATACAAACTCAAGGCCTCATGTTAGCATAGCTGTCACTTTACCCACAGAACCAGCACTAGGTCGTTGGGAGGGTTTGTTTGTTTTTTCTGAGACAGGGTTTCTCTATGTAGTTTTGGTGCCTGTCCTGGATCTCACTCTGTAGACCAGGCTGACCTCAAACTTACAGAGATCCTCCTGCCTCTGCCTCTTGACTGCTGGGATTAAAGGCGTACGCCACCGTGCTCAGCTTATTGGGAGTCTCTTGATGGCAGAGAGAGTAAATAAAGTTTGAATATCTTCTATTACCTTTCCTTCTATTATCTTCCTATCTCTAAGATTACTAGTCATAGTTGGGATATCAGAATTCTTAAGATTTGGAATGAGGTGAAGAGTGATGTTAATAAGCTCTATACCACCATGTTGGAAGTGAAGTGTGGGGCTAAGAACAACAGGATATGCCGGGTAGTAGTGGCACATGCCTTTAATCCCAGCACTCAGGAGGCAGAGGCAGGCAGCAGATCTCTGTGAGTTTGGGGCCAGCCTGGTCTACAGAGTGAGTTCCAAGACAGTCAAGGCTACACAGAGAAACCCTGACTTGAAACTTCCTCCTCCTCCCCCCAAAAATAGTACAGACTTGTAATTTCAGAGTTTACATCTGGGTTTAGAAAGCTGTCGGGAAGGTAGACATATGTCATTGTTACGTGCTAGTTAATGTTAGCATCATTTTGCTAATCGTGTGACAGAAAAAAACATAAAGGCTGGGGTAACAATATTGGGGCATTGAAGAATTATAATAGTTCTTTCACATTTTTGCTCTTCAAACTGGTTTAAATAGAGCTCTTACCTTACTGTCATGCTTCTAGTATAGTACATTAAAATGCTTGCTGAACCAAGCATTGTGGTATATATTGTAATCCCAGCACTCTGGAGGCTGAGGCAGGAGGAGTTTGGAATTTGAGTCTAGTTTGGTGTTAGACTCTGTCTGGAAAATAAATAATAAATAGAATTGAAACATGTTTGTGCACTGGTGCCATGTCTTTGGTTACTAATATGATTATTTTAGCCACCAGATAAATAATTGGCTTTTCAAGCACTGAAAGACTCCATGACTGATCCTGACTTATAGTGTATGGTGAGCTGATTCGTTGGCGGAATTGGGACCAAAATTTCATGCCTTAGCTCAGTGACCTGAGACTCATAATGGGAACAAAAATATGACAGCATCTCTTTATGTGGTGGACATACATGGGAAACGTCCTTAGGGGTTACACTTTAATTCCTGAGTCTCTGTTACAGGACTGGCTGGACCATGGCTCAGAGCAAGCTGTTTAACAAGATCCTCAAAGCCCTGCAGTCTGACCGGCTCGCCCGCTTGGCCAATGAAGGGGTAAGACATCAGAAATCTGTCTGTAGTTGACCCTCTTATTCAGGCCTCACTGATTGACTCTGTCCTGTGTCGTCATCTTGTACTAACCTCTTTCTATGAACATCTTTCAGGCTTGCAACGAGCCTGTGCTGCGTCGTGTGGCTGTGGACAAGTGTGCAAGAAGGGTACGACAGGCTCTGGCCAGTGTTGGCTGGGACACCAAGCTGATCCAGTGGCTGCACACCACCCTTGTGGAGACCTTGAGTCTGCCCATGCTGGCGGCTTACTTGGATGCTTTGCAGACACTGAAAGGGAAGGTGAGGAGGCTTTTGTTGCTTTTTCTAGCAGTAGCTAGTATTTTGATGTGGGTTCAGGATATAGGTTTGACAAGGCCATTGGGACCAGGTCAGCATGGTTGAGTCTAGCAATTTAGCTATTAAAAATAGGAAAAAGGTATCATTTTAGGTTTGTGTTTGGTGTAAGTTTCTTCAGTCCTTCCATCTTTTGGATGAGGTGTGGCATTCTGAAAACCAGAATACATATTTAACCTCTGTAGCCTTGCAGTTTGTGCTTTGAGTCATCGCTGAATTGACTTGGGGTGGAGGAGATGAGGGTTTTACCAGGGAGGGGACTGTCGATAAGGAGGGTGTGAGAAGCAGATCTGCGGTGTTCAGAGGGCCAGGGATTACATAGCAAGGAACTGCCTGACTAAGTCTCTCCTCATCAAGAGATGAACCCTAGGCTGGATGTGGTGGTACATGCCTCTAATCCCAGTAGAGGCATAGGCAGGTTAGTTTCCATCACTTTGAGCCTGGTCTACACTGCAAGTTCATTTCTGTAGGGATTGAGTTAGTGAATTGACATAAAAGCCATAGTAATGGGAAGCCCACAGTAACTCCTGAGGATTATTTAAGTGGCCCTCATAGGGGCTGGAGGAGTATTCGTGCTTTGCTCCAGCACAGAATGGTCTTAAACAATGGTACTTAATTCAGTTCTTTACTTTCTTTTTCTTTCACATGATGGTACTGGGGTAGAGCCCAGGCCCTTGCATTTGCCCAATCATTAGTTCCCTGAGTCATGTCTCCAAAACTTCTAATTTCATTGTTTCTTAGTCAGATTTTTTTTTTTCTGAAATTGCAGAATGCTGAGTTTGTTAGAAAACTGAAGAAAACTAACTGTGTGCCAAAGGAAAACAAAACTCAGGACTAGGTACAATAGTTATATGTGTGGTAGAATAGTTGACCTAATGTTTTTCATTCAGCTAATACTTATCTTGTATTTATAATGTACCAGACATGAGAGTGAGCCAAAGGAAGTCTCTTTGGTGAATAGTGTGCTCTAGGGACAGGTGTTGGTAGTGCCCTGGGCAATGGTAGCTCTGCCACACTTGCCGTGGTCAAGATTCAGATGTGATTCCTCTTGCTTGAAGAGACAAGTTCACACTACTTCTCGTTTAAAATACTAGTGGGTCTTGTCCAGTGTAAATGAGGTGATAGATGTTTTAAGCATGACAGACGCCTATTGTGGACTCTTTAAGTGTGTACAGTGGGTGCCAGTGCTACCTGGACATACTGCTGGGGTCCAGTATGGGTTAGCTGGAATGTCACGAGTCTGCCTGGTACACCAATCAGTGAGCACATTGAGTATAAGGTACTGTCTGTCCTGGCCTGTGATCTGCATGGCGGTTCTCTACTTACAGCTATTGAATATGGGGTTATTTTGCTTTAAAATACTTGTTAGGTGTTAGGCAGTAACTGACTCAGGTCATGCTCTTAGCCCAGCTATTTTCACCTTTAGCTTCATTATGAAGAGAGCAGAGAAGGGACAGCAAACTCAGGGTCTTAATTGTGGTGAGACAGAATGAAGGCAGAACTAGAAGGGCTGGGGAAGCTTGGTCTTCTAGCTCTTAAGTGGAAGTCAGTTACTGATGACTTATTTCATGTTGACAGTGAGCCTCAGGCTTCCCAGTTTCATAGGTAAACTCTGTTGCCTGAGAAAGCTTTAGAAGTGTAAGCTCAGTGTTCACAGTGTTGTGGCTCATGATTAGAGAGGGCTTATAAAGAATGGCCAGTTTGGGGTGGTGATCCTTTGCAGTTTGGCTTTAACCCTTTTCATGTGTACTCCTACTTCTTGCTGGAATCTGTTACTTAAGTCCACCTGGGTCTGGAATAAACACCACACATCCTTGCTTTTTGTCTCACTGGTTAACCTGTCTGGCCTGGAACCTGCTATGTAGACCAGACAGGCTTTGAACCTGCTTCAATCCTCCTCCTTCTGCTTCCCAAGTTCAGAGATTCCAGAAATGGGCTACTGTGCCCATCTGTGTGTCTGGCTGATAACTCATCTCATGTTGGAGTCGTGCCTAACCTAAGCCTGCTTCACTGCATGTGCTACTGCTGCTGCTGCTGCTGCTTCGGATGTCCATTTCCTGTTGACTGCCCTGCTCTGTTGGATGGCTGGAATCACCAGTGTAGGGTTTCTTTTCCTCCCACGGCAGTTAGCACTGACCCCCGCCCCCATTGGTTTGTCTTTCTCACCCTTTGAGTTAAATCCCTCTGCAGCGTTAGCTTGGTGTTCTGTGACAGCAGCTGTTATCTAAACATTAGCTTCTGAGTTAACTGAGGCAGTCCAGAGATTAATAATTCCCCAAATCTCCTGTGGAGATCCTTTTTAGTGTCTCTTCTCCCTTTGTTGTTTATTTTCTTCTTTTTGAGACAGGGTTTCCCATTGCTGGCCTGGAATGGGTTATTCTCCTACCTCAGCTTCCTGAGTGTTGAGCCCAGATTTATTTCTTTTTTTTTTTTGGTTTTTCGAGACAGGGTTTCTCTGTGTAGCTTTGCGCCTCTCCTGGAACTCACTTGGTAGCCCAGGCTGGCCTCAAACTCACAGAGATCCTCCTGGCTCTGCCTCCCGAGTGCTGGGATTAAAGGCGTGCGCCACCACCGCCCGGCTGAGCCCAGATTTCAAATCTTATTAAACTTACTTATCTGAAGCATATTTACATGGAGGAAAGATGAAGGATTTCACGTAACATACCACAGTGTGCTGTCCATTTTATTTTAATTAATTATTTTGTGTGTTGTGGATCAAACCCAGGGCCTTGCAAATCCTAAGAGTTACTCCCAGCTTCTAATCAGTCTGTCTGTCTCTGCATGTCTGCATGTCTCTCTCTCCCTCTCCTCCTCCCTCTCTCCTTTCCTTCATCTCTTCCTCTCCTGAGTTAGGAATAGCTCATCTTAGCCTGTGGCCTTTGGAGTTTTATGCCTACCTCAAACCATATTCTCTAGTCTCTGGAAACCCTTTTAAAATGCCTCTGAAAGAACCTTTAACACTTAAAAATCTTTACTTGCTTTCTTTGAGATTGTTTTGACTTCTCTGTGGGTATTGTGGGATTTGTGAAGATATTTCTTTGCAGTATAAGAAAGCATCAGCATGTCTGAAACCTATATTTATATATTGGTGAGATCACTTTTTAGGGGGATAGTTAAAAACAGGATATGATATAAATCACAGTATACACAGTATAGTAGGATATATTTTTGGGGAACAATAACAGGTTTCATTATACTTGTCTCAACTTGAAGGCTATATCCAGAAGATAGTGTAGATGTTTATTTTTTGGGACAAGGTCTAATGTATCCCAAGCTGTCCCCTGTGTAGCTGAGGGTTGACCTTGAATTTTTGATACTCTTCCATCCACCTCCCAAGTGCTGGGATCACATAGGAATGAGTCACCATGACTTCTGTGTGTCTTTTGATAGGAAAAAGTACACAAAGTACAGTCATCTGGGAAAGGGATGGTGGAATAAACTTCAGTCCATTGGTGCAGCTTACCAGATTGCCTTCCAGAGGATCAGCTCTGCTTTCCTTTCACAGTGGGAGTGTACTTTGGCTGTGCACTGATTTGATATGCATAAGAGCTAAGAGCTCAGTGGGCTTCTGTGCTGAAGCGCATTGCTTCTGGAGGGAAAGTTTCTCACTTGCCACTGGAAGCATCTTTGTTTATCCTTCTTTGTAGATCCCAACTTTGATCGATCGGATGCTTGTGTCATCCAACACAAAGACTGGGGCTGCAGGAGCCGAGGCCTTGTCACTCCTCCTCAAGAGGCCCTGGGACCCAGCCGTTGGTGTGCTTTCTCATAACAAGCCAGTAAGTGGAGTTCAGCCTTAACCGGCATATACAGTGGTCAGACTGAGTCTTTTTGTTTTTCTCTCGAGACAGGGTTTCTCTGTGTAGTTTTGGTGCCTCTCCTGGATCTTGCTCTGCAGACCAGGCTGGCCTCGAACTCACAGAGATCCACCTGGCTCTGCCTCCCAAGTGCTGGGATTAAAGGTGTGCGCCACCACCGCCCGGCCAGACTGAGTCTTAGAGACTTGGCAAGGGAAGATAAGTGGCTTAACTTTCTCATTAATAGCTTGGGTTCTCCTTAAAGATTCATTTCTTTTTAAAGTGGGTGTTTGCACTTGAGTGCAGGTACTCGTGGAGGTCAGAAGAGGGAACTGAGTTACAGGCACTTGACATGGGTGCTGGGAACTGAACTCTGCTTCCCTGGAAGAACAGAGTATGCTCTTAACTGCTGAGCCGTCTCTCTAGCCATAAGCAAAGGGCTGGTGGTTGCTGTAAAGACTGTTGGGATGTAGTTGTTGAGAGTTCCTAGATGAATACCTCTTACTCAGTGGTTCTTGGATGGGATTCTGTCTCCTCAGAGCAAACTCCCTGGCTCTCCTTTGATTCTCATCGCCTCCTCTGGTCCCTCCAGCTCTGTGTTCCCTGCCTCACGCCGCCACCGCTTCTGGCAGTCACAGCTTTCCTGCTTAGGCAAGGTAATTGTAAGGACAAGAGGAATCCTGGGTAGGAATGTAGTCTTGGAGGATTAAAGAAAAGGGTGTGTGGGAGGGAGGAGGTCAAGTTTGTTGAACTCAAATGTGGTTCATCCCCTTAACTCTAATTTTGGCATTTAAGTGTCAGCTGTCTAAGAGATTTGGGATAAGTTAAGCAGAATTGAGGTTTGAAACTTGGCACTGCTGGCATGGATGCTCTTTCTTCCCTTTAGGTCATCCCTGTAGCCACCCATCTGCTGAACAATGGTAGTGGGGTAGGAGTTCTGCAGTGCCTTGAGCACATGATTGGTGCCGTGAGAAGCAAAGTGCTGGAGGTGAGAGTTCCCAGGTTGATTTAGTTGACGGAAGTACACCAGTGGTGTGGGATTGTTCTGTGCCCATCACAGTCCCGTTTACTGTCTTCTTTCTCTTGCCACAAAGATTCACAGCCATTTTCCACACAAACCCATCATCTTGATTGGATGGAATACAGGAGCCTTGGTGGCCTGTCATGTAAGTAAATTCTGTTCTATTTGGAGGTCACTGAAAACTTAAAGGTGGTCATGGAAACAGTGCTTGCTGCTATTACTATTTTGAATTCTTCTTTGTCCTTGTGATAGATACTTTGTGTGGGAACTGCATTTACAACGTGGGAGGCAGTCTGAGTTTTTAAATGTTACTAAGGAAATGTTACTATAGCAAGAATAGAGTAGTAAATAAATTCCTTGATCTCCTCATCTAGCTTTACCAGTGATCAACTCATAGCCAGGCTTACTTTTGTCTTATTCCTGCCCACTTTCTCTGTGCTCCAGATTATTTTGAAGGAAGTTTCAAAGTATGATGACACATGCTTATAATATTATTTAGCACCAGGTAGGCTGAGGCAGAAAGGTTACCATGAGTTTGGGGCTAGTTTGGGCTGCATATAGTGAGTTCTGGGCTAGCCCAAACTTCTTAGAAGAGAAAACAAAACTATTGAAAAGTTCCAACTACAGCTGGGCAGTGGTAGCTCATGCTTTTAACCCCAGCACTTGGGGTGGCAGAGGCAGGTGGATCTCTTGACAGCCTGGTCTACAGAGCAAGTTCCAGGACAGCCAGGGCTACACAGAGAAACCCTGCCTTCAAAAAAAAAAAAAAAATCCAAATACTGTATTTCATTTATATATGTTTGAGCATATAAAAAGATTTCCTTTTCTACAGACTTAAATACCATATTGCGCTCTCTCAACATTTCACATGGAGACAAATGAGTAGTTTTAAATTTGATGTTGTATTCAAGTTGGTTTCCTTTATAAATATGAAGGAACATTTTTTCCCTGCATGTATATATCAGCTTGTGTAAGTGTCCTTGACTTTTGTCGATAGCTCCACTTCTTCCAACCAGCATAGTGAAGTGTGGTATCCAGAGTAGTGAGAGAGCAAGCATCCGATATACTGCGAACAACCTGATACAGAACTCTCAGCTGTGTGGGAGCGATCCCTTAAAACTACTGATAAGAGATTTCTCCACTTAAGGGACAGGGTTGGCATTTGTGTTTTTACTGTGTTTGGGGATGTTTCTCTGTGTTCTGGGGTTGGAACCCAGAGCCTTGCACATGAGAAGTAAATGTGCTGCTCTGAGCTAGCTGTATCTCCCAGCCTGGCAACATTCGTGGGGTTTTTTGTTTTTGTTTGTTTTTTTTTTTTTTTGATTATATTTGTTCTCAATAACAAAGTCTGTAAGGAGGGCTCTGGTCTAGGTTGCTGATGGGGCTGAAGTATGACAACTCCCATCAGGCTCAGGTGTATGTGGGGGCCTATCAGGGCTCCAGTTCTCTAGGAAGTGACTGCCTGTGTTCTGTACACTTAATCATGCCATGGTTGATAAAACTGAAGGCTAAGACAAGCAAGAAAGGCTGGAACCAACTGGTGGCTCTGGACTAACCAGTCCCACCTGCATTCTGGGGAGGCTGAGGTGCAATGAATTCACTTGCCCTAAAGATAAATGGTGCCCTTACTTACAGGTGTCTGTGATGGAGTACGTCACTGCAGTTGTCTGCCTTGGGTTTCCTCTGCTTACTGTGGATGGCCCCCGGGGGGTAAGAGCGAGGTGAAACTGGTTGGTCTTTGGCAGTGGGAGTGGGGGACAGCAGGAATGTGGGACAGTGGAGTGCATGCTGCATCCAGGGTGGGACGAGGTCTCCTGCAGGTTCACAACTGACTTTTCTGAACAGCCTCAAGGTCAGTGCTTCCTGAGCACCAATTGGCTAGATCTAAACTGCTGCTTGTCTCTTTTAGGATGTGGATGATCCCCTCTTGGACATGAAGACTCCAGTCCTCTTTGTCATTGGTCAGAATTCTCTACAGTGTCACCCTGAAGCCATGGAAGACTTCCGGGAAAAGATTAGAGCAGAAAATAGCTTGGTGGTGGTGGGAGGAGCTGATGATAATCTCAGGTGGGTACATTCCTCTAGAGCTGAGAGGGAACATATTAGAACGTAAGAATGCTTGTCCAAGATGGCAGTGTCATGATAGACCAGTGACAGAAATAACAAATCAGAGTTGCATCCTATAATCCCAGTATATGTTCAGGAGACTGAGGCAAAAGGATTCAGTTTGAGGCCAGCCTGGCCCTTGAACCTGTCTTAAAAACTTAAAAACAAGCTGTGCGGTGGTGGCACATGCCTTTGATCCCAGGACTTGGGAGGCAGAGGCAGGTGGATCTCTGAAATCGAGGCCAGCCTGGTCTACAGAGTGAGTTCCAAGACAGCCAGGTCTACACAGAGAAACCCTGTCTTGAAAAACAAAAAACAAACAAAAAAAAAAACTTTAAAGCTGCAAAAATAGTACAAGAAATCTGAAATCTCATCTATCGTTCACCTCGAGTTTCTTGTATAACCAAAATTCTCAAAATGAGGAAACTAATGTCAACTTGATAGTTGTTGTCTGGTTTGAATAACAAACTTAGATTTCATCAGTGTCTCCCTAATGTCTGTCTCTCTTCTTGAGATAGGATTTCTTGCAGCCTAGGCTGTGCTCAGATTTACCATGTACTGAGGATGACCTTGAACACATTCCTTCTGCCTGGTCTTCAGTGTTTGTTTTCTGCGACCTTGACACTGTTCTAGAGAGCTGACAGTTGTTTTATTAAAAAATATTTTCTTCTGATTGCATTGAAAATGTTCAGTTATCCTGTTTGGGGATATGTGATTCAATTTGTCTTAACTACCACTGATAATAACTTTGATCATGCAGTTGAGATAGCTGCTGTGGGGTTCTCCACTATGAAATTATTGTTTTCCCTTTGTAATTAGGAGTCATCTTGTGGGGAGAAGGTACTTTGAGATTCTTTGTCATCAGACTTTTCCTGTGCTAGGCATTTAAAAAAATATTTTTCCTTAGTGAAGATCAGTGTGAACATAGATTACGTGTGTTAAGCCTAACTGGATACGTTTTGAAGTATAAATAAAACCAAATTTTGGGAGGGGTTTTAGAAAACACCTTTACTTATAAGGGTTTTTGTTTGTTTCTTGAGACAGTCTCACTATATAGCTCTGGCTGTCCTGGAACTGTCTCTCTGGAGACCAGGCTGGCCTTGAACTCACAGAGATCTGCCTGACTGCTTCCCAAGTGCTGGGACTAAAGGCATGCTCCATCGCGCCTGGTCTCAGATGTCTGTTTTTAACTGGACAGTTCAGGCAAATGCCTGCTCCTGTCTGTCTGGTTTCTACTCCGGCATATTGGAGGGGTCTTTCTGGCCTTTGTCATTTGCTACTTGATTGTTGATGTTCAACGCATTGTTTTCATGTAAACACATTATTTTTGCAGAATTCAGATGATCCACAAGAGATTTAGCATATGTGTGTGTTGATTTGTTGGAGGGAATAGACAAGGATGGGAATGCTGGGTATTGTTGTGTTGTGGTGAGGAGACATTGGCACAGATTGAAAATCATTGGACTAAGAATTGGGAAACTTCAGTTTGTCTTGATTCCTTTATGTAGAAGTTTGGGTGAGTTGCTTAATTTCTGTAACTCACTATCCTCATCTGAAAAATGATGGTGTTAATGTAAGATCAGAGATGAGCTGCCAGTCATTTGGGAGAAAATATTTTGAGACTCTTGTCTTTGACATCAAACTTTCATTACAGTACACTTTACATTTACTTTAAAAAATTTTCTTGAGATTGGGTCTGTCTATTGTAACCCTGGCTGTCCTGTAACTCCTTAGGTAGACCAGGTCAGGCTCAAACTTGCAGAAAACTGTGTGCCTCTGCCTGAGTGCTGAAATTAAAGGTGTATGTTACCACACCTGTCTAAAAAAATTTATTTTAAGTTATATTTTTATTACTGATTTTTGTGTGTGTGAATGTTCCCATTGCCATAGCGCTTTTTTTTTTTTTTTTTTTTTTTTTCGAGACAGGGTTTCTCTGTGTAGCTTTGCGCCTTTCCTGGAACTCGCTTTGGAGACCAGGCTGGCCTCGAACTCACAGAGATCCGCCTGCCTCTGCCTCCCGAGTGCTGGGATTAAAGGCGTGCGCCACCACCGCCCGGCTCGCCATAGCGCTTTTAATGACAATCAGGTCAACTTGGAGTTAGTTCTCTCCTTAAACTATGGGTCTTCAGGTTGGAGAATCAGCGTGAACATAGGTATTGTTTGTGTTAAGCTTCATTTAATTCATTTTGGAAGTTAAATATAGTTTCAATAATGTTACTCTCCATCGTATAACTTAGGGGCCTGGTTTTCCCTTTGCCAGGAGCCTCAGTCAGAAACCACATTTTTGTTATTTTGAGGTAGGGTCTTTCTTGTAGATAGAATTTTTCACAGCCCCCTGCTCCTCTTTCTGTGTGTGTGGGTGAATGGAAGTACACCTGTTCCAGGATGTGTGCGGAGGTCAGACGACAGCTTTCAGGTCAGCTCTCTCCTTTCACTCCGGTGGCAGAGTTTGAACTTAATCATAAGGCTTTCTGCGAGCACTTTGACCTACTCAGTCATCTCACTGGCCTCATGGTTTCTTTTTTTTTTTTTTTTTTTTTTTTTGCCTCTTAGAATAAGCAAAGCAAAGAAGAAGTCAGAAGGGTTGACTCAAAGCATGGTGGACAGATGTATCCAGGTAAACAGTAGTTTTCTCTTGTTTTGTAGTGGGGGGCCTCCTTCCTCTTGCCCTGGGTTTAGTCTTACTGGCAGCAGCCTCAGTTGCTCTGGACCATGAAGGGTATCAAGTGGGTTCTGTGGTATACCTAAGTCACAGTTACAGAAAGGGGGAGAGGGAGAAACAGAGCAGAGGAGGGGAGAACTGGGATAGGGGTACGGGTGAGGCATCTTGGGGTGCAGTGTGCCCAGAGCTGCTTTCACACGGGCACCTGCTGGCTTCGCCAAGCATAGCAGCTAAGGAGCTTGGCCTTCATGTGGCCGTGTGAGTGGGAAGAACCATCATTTGGGAGTAGAGTTCTATTTACCTTGATTTTATCTAGGAGGGTCCTATTCTCCAGAGAAGGACTCAGACCTTACCTCGTTTTCACACTAGGATGAGATTGTGGACTTCTTGACTGGAGTGCTCACTCGTGCTGAGGGGCATGTGGGTTCTGAGCCTCGGGATCAGGACGCTGAGAAGAAGAAGAAGCCCCGAGATTTGGCCCGAAGAGACTTGGCCTTTGAAATTCCTGAGCGAGGCAGTCGGCCTGCTTCCCCAGCTGCCAAGCTCCCCACCTCCCCTTCGGGCTCAGAGGTAGTGTGGGCAGGGAGGGAGCACCTTTGTTGAGGTGTGAAGATGCATAATTGGTTATTCCCTTGTGGAGATCCAGGGAGCCAAGTAATGGTTGGATGCAAACCTCTTTGGACCTTCTTTACCCAGGATCTCTCCAGTGTGTCCAGCAGCCCCACCTCTAGTCCTAAGACCAAAGTGACCACGGTGACCTCTGCTCAGAAGTCCAGTCAGATTGGGGCTTCCCAGCTGCTGAAAAGACATGTGCAGAGGACAGAAGCTCTACTGACCCACAAACAAGCCCAAGGTACAGTCTCCTGGCCCCGCAGCCCCAGTGGGGTTCTGTCTCCTACAGCTGATGTCATGTGGCAGTTGGGAAGCATTAGATCTGCAGTGCAAGGGGCACCCTTTCTCATACGGATTCTAGGCAAAATCAGGTTGAAATGAATGCCAAGGCTGTGTGGGACTAGGCCTTGTATTTGATAGTCACAGCCTTGTTTGTTGGTGTGCTGGAGACATTGAGCTAAGCTGACTGTGTGTAGTGGCCTGACCTTGTAATTACTAATTGGAGAAGTATGTATTTTGCCATCCGTTTCTGTAGTCAGAGTCTTTCCAGATGATAAGCATGGGGTGACTGATTGTTCCTCAGATTCTAGGCCAGGTCCCCTTGCCCTTCTTTGTTTTGTTCTTGAAGAGTTCAGAGTTCTGTGATGGATTGTCTACAGATTTGGTCAGGGTTCTGCAGTTACGCTTCAGATGAGGGTGGAGAACATTTGTATTGTTGACATTAGGGTTTGGAGGAATCCACAGGCTGTGTGAGGAACTGTAGAAAAGGAAAATTCAGTGAGTTGAGAAAGAAGCATCAGTGGCTCTGTCCCTTATGTCGGTCTGTTCCAGCCCAACCCCGACATGATCCTCTGCTCACCTCCCCTTGTGCTTTTAATGGAGCCAAAGAGTTACCACCTAAACCAAGACTTCTTATGAAATGCCACACTAACAAGTATGAGTGGGTGGGTGACGGCAGTGAAAGAGGCTAGGCGCCTGGCTCTACGGATGCCCTGTGACCCAGCTTTTCCTGAGTTCCTGGTGGGATTCCCTTAGAAATTTGGTAAAGGCAGGGCTGGCAGATTGTTATATTTCTGGGTAGCATGATTAGTAGAGATACTAAGGTGATGTTGAAGGCTGTGTGGGGAGCTGGGTTTAGGATGGGACTCAGAGTGTCAATGGGGACAGCAGCAGCCCTAAAACCACGGCTTTAGCAGAGCTGATGGGTGGGTGGAGTAGGAGTTAATGCAGACAGAGCCCCCACTGCCTGTCGCCCCTCCGTGGAGTTGACTTGCCCTGCCTTGTTAAGGCTAGACAGTGGCCCCCTGTGGCAAGTACCCAGCAAAGTCGGGTTCCAGATCAGTGTAGCTCCCTCAGAAAGAGCATCCACTGACCACTTTCATCTTTTCCTTGTTCCCACTCTTCCTCCATTCTCTAGCTGGCTGTGATTCTGTAATTCTTTCTGATTCATTCCAGCACAGTTTGCTGCTTTTCTGAAACAAAACATGCTGGTGAGGAAAGCTTTTCCTCCCGGCGCCTCCTCCTGTCTCTTTGGTGAGTATTGCTTTCACCTGCTCGCCTAGGCTTGCTGCTCTCCTCCCCTGCCTCTCACTCTCCCCTCTCTCCACTCCATTTCTTCGTTTCCTCTCTTCTGTCTCCCGACTCTTTCCACCACCTCCCCTTGCTTACGCCTTTGCCGTTCTCGGGTCTTTCTCTTGGTTTCTCATGGTGTCTTTTGCTTTCTCACTGTGGTTTTTTTTGTTTTGTTTTGTATTTTTTTGTTTTTTGGGTTTTTTTTTTTTTTTTTTGCTTCTTGGTCTGTCTTTCTCTTGTGTTTGTGTGCCTGTGGCCTGTGGCCTGCACCTCCTTGTCTGTTTTCCCCCTGCCGTGGTTCTTTCCGTCCTGACTGCTGCAAGCGCACCAGCACTTCAAGCACTCGCCTTTCTCCTCTGTCTTAGGCCAGTACATTGATCCCTAAGCAGTCCATCTAACGGGTAATTGATTCCCTCACTGTGCCCCATGCCAGGAACCCCTCCCCCCATTCACTGGGCTGCTGTCTTCTTCTCTAGACCCCCCTATTTGCCTGTGCTAAGAGGGACTAGAGGGAGGAGACTTCCGAGTGTAAAGAGTAGAACTGAGAAAGCCTAAAGATCAGCAAATCCAGAAGACTTACCTTTATACACAATGATCTGTTGGAGTTCATGGAAGCCCAGATCCCCAGACTTGGTTGTGACATGGGTCACTTCTGCCCCGTTATATTTGGGCAGCATCTGAGATGCTGCCTCACCAAGTAGTTCCTGAGAGCCAGCAAGTCCAGGGCAACTGAATGGACTAGAGCTATCTCTGAGGTGCTCCAAGTTGAGTCCAGAATGGGTGGGAGCTGAGGTAGAAATATGAGGTGTAGCTAGTTCCTGGGGTATTTCTCCTGTGTGTCCCCACATGGCTGCTTCTGGCTGACTTGACCTGTGGTATTTATAAGCTTACGGAAGATCTTACCTCAACTCCGTTTCTTAGTTCCCATTTCATCAGAACCCATGGAGGAGGCAGAGAAAGAGGAGCTTCGGGTCCAGCTGAAGCGGCACCATCCTTCCAGTCCTCTTCCTGGCGCAAAGCCCTCCAAGCGACCAAAGATCAAAGTGTCCCTCATCTCCCAAGGGGACACAGCTGGAGGGCCTTGTGCTCTTTCTCAAGGTGGAACACCTGAAGGTGAGTCTTTTATGGAGTGTTTGGTAAAGGCTGACCAGCTTTCCAAGACAGAGCCCAGGCTCTGTCAGCGTCAAGGACACCTGGGACAGACAGATGGTCTGAGGTCACACATGGTGGAAAGTGACAGTCACCTTGTCTCAACAAGGGAGACAATATAAATAGTTGTGGGACCATTTAGAACACTTGATATTTTGTCCCTTTCTGGTTTTCAGCTAAGGTAATAAGATACTCCAGAAAGCTTAAAAGATGGAAGTAAGGAGGAACCTCGGCTCTCCTGTAATAGCATAGCTGTTCTTTTTTCTCTTTCCAGTCTTGAATTTAGCCTTGGTTGTAGTGGCAAATTAGGACTGGCCTTTGGTCTGGGGGTTTGTTTTGCAGCCCCTGGGGGGAAACCCATCACCATGACGCTGGGAACTTCCTCGGGAGCCAAGGAACTCACTGGACTTCTCACTACAGCCAAGTGAGTATGCCTTTGGCCTTTCCTAGTCCCTCCTTTCCCTTCACTCAGTTTCTGGTTCGTTTGTGTTGGGGGAAGTTGAGAGATTCTGGAGTCTGTCAGTTAGGAGCATGAGACTTCTTTCTCACTGGGTGCTTTCCTTCATTTCTGTCAGTTTAGAGTTCATTTGTCCTTATGAGATTGCAGAGCATCCACTGACTTTATTAAGACCTCAGTTCTTTAATTTAGGCCTAACCTTTAGAAGGATAAATTTGGGGCTTAGAAGCTGAAACAAAGAAAGAAAATTCTTCCTTGCTGGACTTGGTTCTGATCGCTCCCTCTGTGGCTGTGGGCTGCCGCCCTTTGGATGATAGGGCTCCTTTTCTTTTTTCAAGGTCAAGTTCTTCTGAAGGTGGAGTTATAGCCAGCGCAGCCCCATCTGTGGCTTCCAGCAGTGCCACACCCAATGCCATCCACACACTGCAGAGCCGCTTGGTGGCCACTTCTCCTGGCAGCTCCCTTCCAGGTATCTTGTAACCCATCACACTGTCACCAGCAATCTTAGATCTGCCGCTGGAGGGTGATCTTAGACCAGGAGCTCTGGAACTGGAACTCGAGGGAGTATCTCTGCTCTCCAGTGATTGCAGAAGCTAACAGGACCAGAATTAGCTTGGATGAGGGAAATTCCTTGTCTTTAATATCTGTAGGGGCTGTGTCCTCTACTGTGAGGATGGGCGATGCCTGTATTGTTATTCTCCTTTTTAATACCTCTGACTGAATCAAGGGAGGTGTTGCTAAATTGGATATTAGCAAAATGAGGTATGTTTTTCCTAGTTTTTTCTGACCCCAGCCTTAATGGAAGGGCTGGTCACCTGATCCCATAACTTAGAGCATTGCTAAATTATCTTTCCATTAAGCAGATTTTTACTTTGAGAATTTTGGATCGTATGTAATGCGGTCAGGTATCTGAATCCACTTGGCTTCAAAAGTCTTTCTTCTTATCTAGAAATAGAGGGGATTTAGGTTTCTAAAGTGTGATTTGCCGGGCAGTAGTGGCACACACCTTTAATCCCAGCACTCAGGAGGCAGAAGCAGGTAGATCTCTGTCAGATCGAGGCTAGCCTGGTCTACAGAGTGAGTTCCAGGACAGCCAGGACTGTTTCACAGAGAAACCTTGTCTTAAAAAAAATAAAAAACAAAACAAACAAACAAAAAAATTGGGATTTAAGTTGTCTGGTTTTCCTAATGCTGCATTTTGAGCAAGATTTAGAACAGCTTGAATGTGCAGAGCAAATCCAAGGCTGGCGTAGCACCTCTCCTTGTGTTAGGGCAAGTTGAAGTTGTTGGTAAGGGTGAAAGGGTGCCTGCTTGAGTGACTGACCTCTGCTGCTACTTGCTGTGTCCTCTCCTAGGGGCTACTTCGGCCAGCAGCCTCCTCCAAGGCCTCAGCTTCAGCTTACAGGATATTAGCAGCAAGACCTCTGGCCTCCCAGGAAGTCCCTCTCCAGGGCCAGCCCCACAGGTATATCATCTGCTGTGTTTGGCAGTGCGGGATTAGGACTCCTTAATTTTGTCAGGGAGATTGTGTCTGGGGTCAGTGGGTTAAGAACAAAGAACCTTCTAAATATGTAGCCAAAAAACTACCACATGTTATAATCTGTGACTTACTGTATGTATGGCCTTGGGTGAGATTCTTAACTTCTCTGTCTTATTTCTTTATCTATAAAATAAGGTAATGATATTAGCTCCCTCATGTATTTGTGATGATTAAAGATGATATATGCAAAATGCCTGGAAGAGCACTTTAACATGTGGTGGGCACTATGCGTGTTAGCTTTTAATAGTAGCTGTGGGCTCTCCAGGCTCTAATGTTCTGTTGGGTAGTAACTTCTGATCATCTTGTCATGTGTCCAATAGGCCGCCAGTGTGAAATTGCCAACCCCCATGCAGAACCTGGGTGCCATCACCACAGGCACAAGCACCATCGTCCGTACCATTCCTGTGGCCACCACTCTCTCCTCCTTGGCTGCCACTCCTGGTGGGAAGCCCACTGCTATCCACCAGCTGCTGACCAATGGGGGCCTCGCTAAGTTGGCAAGCAGCCTACCTGGTTTAGCTCAGATTTCTAACCAAGCATCAGGTGAGTCTCATGAAAATAATGGGGACTTGCAGATCTGGGTTTTTCCATAGCACTTCACTAGCCATAGGCAAGGTGTAAACCCAGCACCACATGGTCCTGGCCTTGATTCTTAGATTCAGCTCTGTGGAGCCCAGCCCCCGGAGAGGTCTAGAGAACACAGGAAGTTTCCTGTTGCCTTTCAAATTGACTGATAGGGGTAGACCTACCCACCCAGGAAGGAAACCAAGAGGATGTTTTATATGGGAAGAAACTGTTACCTGAAAGAGGCTATGAATCCTCTGTCTTCTGTATCTATGTCTGTCTGTCTCTTACTTAGGCTTAAAGGTCCCCACCACCATTACTCTGACACTCCGTGGCCAGCCAAGCAGAATCACCACGCTAAGCCCTATAGGCTCAGGAGCAGCACCATCCGAGGAGCCCACCTCCCAGATGCTGCCCTCTAGCTCACAGGTGAGTTGGCTTCGATGGACCCAGGAAGTGAGCTCCAGTTCTAGGTGAATTTGGGGCCAGCCAAAGGGTTGACCATAGCTGCCATTGTACTAAATTTGTTGACAGACCAGATTCAAATTTGAACCCTGAGGTTTATAGCTTTTTCACGTTGAGCAAGGCAGGACCTCTCTTATCTATAAAACTCCTAGCTGTTGTGAGGATTGAGTTTGTGAATAGTCAAGGATGGCCATGACTGGGTATAATGTTTTTGTGTGTTTGCCTCTTCCTTCTTTCCTCCACTCTTGATTTCCTCATTCAGAACTGGTGAGTAGAGGCCGATTCTCAGACCTTGTTTGTCTTCGTTGCCTCAGAACAGGCCCTGAAGGTCATGTCCATCAAAGCACCAAGGAACAGAACGAACACTTCTGTACTGTTTGATGCAGTGTATAACAACAACAAAAACCCAAAACTATTTCTATTGTATTCTACAAAGACTGAAATGCTCTTTTTTTTTTTTTTTGGTTTTTCGAGACAGGGTTTCTCTGTAGTTTTGCGCCTTTCCTGGAACTCACTTTGTAGACCAGGCTGGACTCGAACTCACAGAGATCCTCCTGCCTCTGCCTCCCGAGTGCTGGGATTAAAGGCATGTGCCACCACCACCCGGCCTGAAATGCTCTTTTACAAAACTAGTCAGCAACAGTACACACACACACACACACACACAGAAGAAACTCTAGACTGACTAACATTAGTAAATGGACTCTCCAGTGAAGTAGAAGCCAGTGGAAAGGATACACTCCCCTTTCCAATAGTAGGCTCTTCTCTTCTCAGTTTGCTCTCCTTTCAGGCTAGTCTTGGGGCATTTCCTCAGTTGAGGTTCTCTCAGAATTACTCTATCTTGTGTCTTTTTTTTTTTTTTTTTTTTTTTGAGACAGGGTTTCTCTGTGTGGCTTTGGATCCTTTCCTAGATCTCGCTCTGTAGACCAGGCTGTCCTCGAACTCATAGAGATCTGCCTACCTCTGCCTCCCGAGTGCTGGGATTAAAGGCTTGTGCCACCACCGCCCGGCTCGTTGTTTCTGAGACATGCTCTCACATTTGTAGCTCAGACTGGTCTCTATTTTAGCATTCTTCCTCATCCTCCTAAGTACTGGGGTTTTTGTCCTCATGCGTTTAACTTTTTATATGTGATAATGGTATTTTACCTAATTTTGGTTTTGTTGTTTGAGACAGGGTTTTACTGTATGTGGCTGTGGCTGGCCTGGAACGCGCTATGTAGATTAGGTTGGCCTCAAACTCAGAGACATCAACCTGCCTTCTAAGTGTTGGGATTAAAGGCTGGAACTATCATGTCTGGCTCATTTAATGAAAAAACAGTTCTTTTTGGGTGAGAATGGTCAGGTGTTTGCCCAGCATGCATTGAAGCCCTAAATACACCAATTAAGTCAGGCAAAGTGGTGCATGCCTATAATACCAGCATCCAGGAGATAGAGTCAGGAGACTCAGAAGGTCATCCTCAGCTGACCTGGGCCAGTGGGAACCTATCTTAAGTAGTTTTTGTCTTTGTCCTCCTCCTCCTTCTCTCTTTTTTTTTTTTTTTTTTTGGTTTTTCGAGACAGGGTTTCTCTGTGTAGTTTTGCGCCTTTCCTGGAACTCACTTGGTAGTCCAGGCTGGCCTCGAACTCACAGAGATCCACCTGGCTCTGCCTCCCGAGTGCTGGGATTAAAGGCGTGCGCCACCACCGCCCGGCCTCCTTCTCTTTTTAATTTTAAGATTTCTTAGTATAGTACTCGTGCAAGGAATGGATTTTAAAGAGTGTAAGTACCAGCTAATTTTTATTGTATCCATGAAAGCATTTAATTACCTTGTTTCTGGACTAAATAGTGCTTCCATCATGTTTCCTTAATGGGAAAGAGCTATTGTGTGTCCTGATAACTCAGGGCTGCAAATGGAAGAAGACTATGTTGTGCCATACATCATAGTTCTGAGAATGGATTCCTTGTTTATACTGTAATCTCTGTGTCTTCCTGACCATACCATGATGGTGGCAGACTGGGAAGCCCTCCTCTAGCTGTTGCCTGTGGCAGTTGGCCTCACTGCAACCTTGCAGTAGTCCCTGCCCAATTACGCTTAAAATCAGGACAATGACTTCCTCCTGTGTGGAGCCTTGTCCTGGATCCTCTGTCAGTTTATCAACCCTTCTTCATCCTTCCCCTTCCATGTTCTTCATTTTCACTGTGGTCCTGAGGTTTCTGAAAGTGTGAAACAGGGAAACATGGTAGACTTGTTGAAAAGATGCCATCCCTCTTCCCAGGCTGCAGGCCTCAACAGTCTGCTATCCTTCGTGCCTCCAAAATTCCCAGGACCTAAAAATTAAAAATGATACTGTCAGAATGGTCGTGGAAATTTCCCTTTGGTTCTGTCTAGTCACTCACCTGTTTCCTTTTCTGTGCGTTCCTCTCCTGTCCTTGGGTGTGATAAAGGCTAAGAACTAACTGATCATTGTGGTTGAGCATGGATTATACTATTGATGCTTCGTGCAGTTATCTCACGTAATCCTAGGAAGCAGGTGCTGCCATCTGTGTGCACAGGTGAGGAAAAGAAAGCTCAGAGCCTGTGAGCTAGTGAGCCCCTTACCCTAAGGAGTGGCCAGGTGAGCCTGACTCCAGAACCCACCTTCTGCTAAGTACATCACACCAGAGGGTCTTTATCTTGTGCTGCTGCTTTCCTGTTGATTATTACATTGGATTAAGTTCACAGGAGTGAGATGAGTGGGTCAGAGGAGGGGTCTAGCCTGGCCAAGCTTTAACCCTTTTTCACCCTTCTGCCCACAGCGCCTGCCTCCAGCACCCTGAATATGCCAGCAATATGTCCTCCTTACCAGGTTGGTGACAGCTGCCTCAAGGTGAACCGTGTGGTCCTGCTGAGCCGTCTGAGTGTCTGAAGACATCCTAAAGACAGTCATTTCCACCTTCTACCCGCTGTCTTTGGGGTTGGGCCTCTGGGTCTTGAGAGGGCATTAGGCCAGGTGATATAGTGCCAGCAAGGGGAGCACTGTCCAGGGCCAGCAGGTTGGTTCCTGGAATCCCCAGCAGGCCTGGCCGTGTGTGGATTATTGGCATTTCTACCCCAACACTACTGTCATTTGACCCCAGTGTCAGTATAGAGCTGCTCACTGCAGTTCATGAGGAAGGCAGGGAGAACTGGGCTGTCGGCTTTGAGCCCCTCAGCTGCTGGGGCCGTGAGGAACGGTTGTTAGCAGGCCCCTCTTCTTCTTCACCATGGTTTGTGCACTGTCTGTACCAGAGCCTGTAGGTCCAAAAAGACTGAAGATGAGGGATGGAGCAGCCAGAGGAAATGGGTGGCAAGACACACCCTCAGACCCTGTGCTGCTGACAGTTCGGGCTTGGGACTCTGCGTGACACTTGAGGACCTAAGATTAGCTAGAGAAGTGGAGTCAGCCAAGTCAGAGTCCTCTCTGGTGCCTGGCGACGAAGCAGATTGACCGGCTCCCATGCTGCTGTTGTAGGAGTTGGAGCGGTAGGACAGTGAAGGCTGTGCTTCAGAGTTGGTCTCCTTTCCTTGGAACTTTGTCTTTCTGTTAGAAGAAGGGAGGTGGTAGTGACTACTGTGTGAGGCTCTGGTGCCAGCCTGAGCCTTGCAGATCATGGTCCCTGGTGATGTGGACACTGAAGATGGAGCTGAGCCTCATTTCCTAGGACACTGTGCAGATGGAGCCTGGAGTTTGGCTCTGAATTTGTGTTCCAGAGCAGGCTCCTTTCCTTTTCATACTTAGAAAGTTTCCGTCAAGATGAGAAATAAGGGAACTCAAGTGTGATTTCGTTGACAGGGCCATACACAGCTACACCAAAGCCTCTCACTGTAATCTGAGTGGAAACTAGTGTTGAGGAGCCTCAGGCAAGTCAGGTCAGAGACATGTGATAGGAGTAGGGGGTGCTCTCCAAGCTCCACCCTGGCCTTGGCTGTGGAGCTGCACTCACAGTGCTTGCTTCACCGTGGGGCTGTATTCTGAAATTCAGAAGGCCTTCAGTGAATTTGAGAAGGTATGAAATCTGGAAGAGGCCTCTAGTGCTGAGGCTTTGAGAGCTTCATAGTTCAGAGCATATAACCACCAAAAGAGAGAGGATAAGACTGTGGGGCTCTGTGAAACTTGGAGGGATCACTTAGGTTGGCAGAGGGCCCTGAACAACCCTTTGTGACTTAGGAGAACAGCTTGAACAACACTGGAGGGGCTGCTCCTGAGAGATGCTGCCCCTGTGTTCTGGAACCAAAGAAAACTTGTACCCTGCTTTGGTGGTGAATCTGTGTACATCCCATGGGTGACTTCTGAGGCCTGACCTATGTACCTTGAAGAGCTGCAAAACTGAGGGAGGGGAGCTACAACATACTGATCTTCACCTTGAGGGACTGACCACCAAGGAAGTGCCTGGAGTCTGTGGATCACATTCCCCAGAGCCCATCTCAAACCACACTGTCAGAAGTGGAAACTCGCTTTACCCTACCCGTCTTGTGGCAGACTTGAGGGCATAGCCTCAGAAGATAATACTCTTATGGAGTGTGTAGAAGGATCAGGAAGGCTTTAAATTCTCGGGCAACAGATGTATTGTAAATGCCCCCATGAAGTTGTCTGTGGCTTTGAGAAGAGGTCACAGGGGCAGAGACTTGTCCACCTTTGGTTGTATTGCAGTAATAATTTGGGGGTGGATGAATTCATAGAAGTGAGCCATAGTGATGGTCTGATCTTTCATTATCAAAAATAATTAAAAAAAAAAAAACAACTTTGCATTGTTTCAGCTTGTTTTCATTTGATTTTGCATGCTTTGGGAATTGCCTGTGTAGTGGAGAGGTGGTAGGTGCTTGAGATTATTTTGCTGCTGTCAGATGCTGAGGCCTAGTTACTGTAATTCTTAAGAAACATCAAAACAAAAGCAGGTTTCGTGTAGTCTAGGCAGACCTCGGATTTGCTGTGTAGCTGAACTGGCTTTTAACTCCTGATTCTCCTGCTTTTGCCTCCTGAATGCTGGGATTATAGGCATTTACTGCCACACCCAGCTGCCACTCCCTTATGTCACTACCCCTTGAGGAAGAGGTGTGGGCTGATTTCTGTCCTGGGTTCTGAGATGGAAGACCTGAAATGGAGACCAACCTAGGAAGTGAGGAAAATGTGGCTCTTTTCAGTTTTCCCATCGGGCCAAGAGCAATTGTTGTTGGAGTGGAGCTCTCTCTAGGCCTCAAGTCAGTAGGTAGGATCCCTCACTGTTCATCCTAACAGACAATTGCGTATCCTAAGGCTGCCCTTTGACCCCGAAGTGACTTAGAGGAGGATAAGTGGATTCTAACCTTGAGCTTACTTGTGCATCTGTAGCAAGAGGGACCTCCTCCACGCCTTTTGATCCTTAGATCCTTCTTAGTCTTCCATCTCAGACCAGAACAGACCACACACACTTTTTCCTCACCTATAAAGGGAATGATAGCTGAGTATGCCAGCAAATGCCTGTAATCCCTGCAGTCAGGAGGCAGAAGCAGAAGAATCGGGAGTTAAAGGACAGTTCAGCTGCATAGTGAATCTGAGGCAAATTGATACAGTTAAAATGAAACAAGTCATGCCAGGCGGTGGTGGTGCACGCCTTTAATCCCAGCACTCAGAGGCAGAGGCAGGCCTGGTCTACAGAGTGAGATCCAGGAAAGGCACCAAAACTACGTAGAGAAACTGTCTTGAAAAAAACCAAAAAAAAAAAAAAAAAAAAGAACAAGCCTTTGTTGTCTTTCCATGCCCTTTTCTAGGGCGGGTTTTAGGACTGCAGGGTGGAAGAAGCAGAGACTTGTGTACTACCTTCACTGGGCATTCTTCACCTCCCAGCTCCTTGTTTTTAGACTGGTTCTTACCCTAGGCCAGGGGTGAGCTCCAGCAATCTTCCTGCTGCAGCCTCATGAGTGCTGAGATTATAGGCATGGCCCTCAGAGTCTGACTTTAGAAAGCATCTTAGAGACAGGGTGCTTGCCTTGGGGCCTTGTTTTCAGGATTTGGTTGGTTTTTAATTTTATCTATTTTAATTATTGTACCTTATATGAATGTTTGTCTGCATGCATATATGTGCATCATCTGTGTGCCTGTTGGACTCCCTAGAACTGGTATTACAGATGGGTGCTGGGAATTGAACCCAGGTTTTCTGCAAGAGCAACGTGTATGCTCTTAACTGCTGAGTCATCTGTCTGGTGCCCTCCAGGATTAGTGTTTTCATATTGTCCCAGGACTGTCCAGCACAGACTCCTTTGTGGATTTCCATTCTGAGTTCTAATTCCAAACACAGCCCGATTGAACTGAACCTTCTTAGGGGCTGGTTTGTATCCCACCCACCCCACAGTCCAGTGAGTCATGCAATTCATATCACTGCCTTTCTAAAAGAAGTAGTAAGAAACATGAACTGTTGAGCTGTTTTGCTGTGTATATGCCGTAAGAGTGATAGTGTATGTCTTACTCGGCCTTGATGCAAGGCTCGGGCTAGGTCCGACCCCACCTTGGTGTGCCAGCCTGTATTGACTACCCAGGGAGGCCTTAGCCTCTTAGGAGGGGTTGGGCGTGGGATGGGGGTAGGTGGGGGGGGTAGAAGGGGAGGGAGGCAGAACGGGTTGGTACATAAAGACAAAAATTTTTTTTTTTTTTGGTTTTTCGAGACAGGGTTTCTCTGTGTAGCTTTGCGCCTTTCCTGGAACTCACTTGGTAGCCCAGGCTGGCCTCGAACTCACAGAGATCCGCCTGGCTCTGCCTCCCGAGTGCTGGGATTAAAGGCGTGCGCCACCACCGCCCGGCAACAAAAATTTTTTTATTAAAACAAATGTGGTAGTGTAGGACCTGTGCGCCCTCCCCAACTTTCCCCCCACTGCTTGCATTGTACCCGACTAGTATACCAAAATGAGGAAATTAAGGGCTGGAGAGATGACTCAGAGGGTAAAGGTCCTAGTTCATTATCCCAATGACCCGAGTTGGTATTCCCCGGAACCCACATCAAGAGCTGGATTGGTTACATGCATTTGTAATATCAGCACTCCTATAGGAAGATAGGAAGTGGAACCAAGAATTGCCTGGAAGCTTGTGGGCCAGCTAGCCTGGAGTTCACCGTGCAGCTGCAGACAAGAGGCCCTGCCTCAACAAGGTGGAAGGGAAGAACCAGCTCCCCAAAGCCCTCCTCTGACCAGCGCTACTGTGCCATGGCTACAATGCACATACAGTTTTCTTTTTTTAATGAGCACATGTTGGTTCAATATGTGTGTGGTTCTCTGTCACCGTAGTCTTGCAACCACAGTCAAGGCATAACTGTTCCTTTGCACAGGGTTCTTGTCCTGTCCTTTGATAGTCACTGCCCATCTTTGCCATAGCGACCACTAATCCCTTCTACGGCTCCGTAAATAGAGTAATATATAAATAGAACTGTACAGCACATGACCTTTGAGATGGTCTCTTTTCTCTCAGTGTAATCCTTTTGATGTCTGTCCAAGTTGTGTAAGGGTTTTTAATATAGTTCATTCCTTTTATTGCTGAGTAGCGTTCATGGTGTGGGTATGCCACAACATAAGCATTAGCCTGTTGAGGGAACCAGAGCATGTGTCTTATGATTAGTCATTAAAATCTTCAAGATGAGCTGGATGCTGCAGGAGCTGGCCTCTTGGGTTTTATCTGTTGTTCCTTCACAGAATCCTTGTCTGAGTCTCTGTTAGGTGATTTTTCAGATGTCTTATTTGTCCAGTCCCAGTGTCCTGTCTTGGCTTTCACTCTCCATTTACACTTTTCTTGAGCCACATCTGTTACAGGTTCTGAAGGCAGAGGCCTTAGAGCCACAGCAGCAACACAGCATTTGCATGTTACTGCCATGCTTTGCAAAATAAAACGCACCCTTCATCCACCTGCTTCTGCATCTGAGGCCAGAGAACTTGGGGGGCATCTTGATGGCTTTAGCAAGTGATTGTATGCAAGTTTGTGTGAACGTTTGTTTTCACTCCTCAGGGGTAAATGTCCAGAAGTATGATTAACTGGGTCCCCTGGTAAAGTTTTAGTTTTATAAGAAACTGTCTTAACTGTTTTCTGGAATAGCTGTGCCGTTTTGCATTCCCAGCCGCAGTACGAGAAACATGCTGTCTTTCCTCCTCACTACCACTTGATGTCTTTTATATTGTCAGTCTAACAATGTGTGCATGATGGCTCATTTGGTCTGTCATTTACTGAGACTTGCTTATGGTCTGGGCTGTGGCCCACTCTGTCCTATGTTCTGTGGACACTTAAGGAATGTTTATTCTGATGCTATTAGGTTCTATAGATGTCAGTACAATTCTGCTCACAGCCGTGTTCTTATGAACCTTCAGTGATATTCTGCCATGTTCTGTCAGGGTGGTGTTGAAATCTCCAACTCTAATCTTTTTTTCAGTTCTGCTATTTGGTACAAATGCATTTGGGGTTCCCTTGTCTTTTGCATGGGTTGACCTATTTATCATTGTGTAATGTCCCTGTCTATTGGTGTTAACTTTTGCTCTGAAGTCTGTATTAGTCTTTCTGTGACTTCTGTCTCTCTCCATCCCCACGCCCTTTGCTTGGGACAGAGCCCAGGGCCTGTACACACTGAGGTGTACTCAGCCCCTTGGCTTTCTTTTGATTAGTGTTTGTATATTTTTTTCCCATTCTTTGTTTTAAACTTACCTATATGATTATATGAGATATGAACGTCTAGTGGACTGACTGCATTTAGCATGTGATTTTCCCTCTGACAATCTTTCAATTGGTGGCTTTAGACTGTTTCCATTATATATAATTATAGATATGTCAGGGCTTCAGTCAGCCTCTTTTTCTGTTGTTTGTTTTCTTTTTTCCCTGCCATTGTGGGTTTCTTGAACTTTTTCTTTTTAGAATGCAGTTTTGATTGGCCTATAGTGTTTTTTAGTGTATCTCCTTATACAGCCTTCTTGATGTGTGCTCTGAGGTGTTACATTCTATGACATAACTTGCTTTATGTTGCTGGCAGTCCAGCCAGGGCCTTGTGCATGATGAGCATGTGTCCTTGCACCACAGCCCTGTGCCTTATCCCATTCTTCACACTTAACGCTGAGACTCCACACTGGGCCCTTCCTACTGCTTCTAAAACTATTGTCTACAGTTTCAGAGCCTCGCCAGACAGGGCCTTAATTTTTGCTGTGTAGACGGGGCTTTGAGTTTTTATTCAAAGGTAATTTGGGGGAAAAAAAAAAAGTCTTGTGGTTAATCCATTTTCACCCTTTCCTTCCCTTGCTCTTTCTTACTGATGTGTCAAGATTCCTTCTGTTACTGTTTAAAGAACTTGATTTAATTGTGCCTCTAAAGGTCAACTAATTCTATAGCTGTCCTTTGTCTGGGAATGTCTGATGCTAGACTGCTGTGAAAATTCTGGAGATACGTCTGTGCCTGGAAGAAATACCAGAAGTAGAATACAAGCAGCCAAAGTGATGGTTATCTAGCTGGTGACAGGCAGCTACACATACAAGCCCAAACACTGGTTTCTTTTGGAAGGATGGCTGTAATGGGTAGCTGTTCCAGCTTTGACCTGGAAGTACTACCTCTAGTGAGGCTTCTCATAGCTGTCATGCCTACCTATGACCAACCCCGCCCGGGAGCCCATAAGATCCAGATGTGCTGGCTCTCTTGGTTCCCAGTGATCCTGGATGCTGGATGGTAGACCAAGCAGAGCTCTCCAGAGAACACCACTGGACTGCGCTACACCTCTCCCGGATTCTGTAACCAATCCCTTTACTTGC